GAAAAAAATGAAATAAAAATAACGATTTTCTATTTTATGCCTTTTTTTTAAATGTAAGAAGTAGAAGTAAAAAGTAGGCTGAAAAAGAATAACTCAAGTAAAGTACTGATGCCCTAAAATTCTACTTTAGTACAGTAACAAAGTATTTGTACTTTGTTACTTTACAACTCTGTCTTTAAGTTAACCATTGTCATGATTTAAAAAAAAGTTTAATACTAAATGCATCATGAGAAGAAGTTCTTCAAAACCCAGTCAGAGCTAACACCTGGTGAGAAGGATGTAACGTTTATTACACTGATTATTACTCCATCATTTCTCAACACAAGATCTTATTTTAAACTCTGACAGGAGGCAGCAGCTGGTATGTGTTCATTTACAGAGTGTTGGGCCTTTAATAATAATTTAATATTTATATAAGCTGTTGCTGCAACACTTTGGATCATCTTGAGGTTTTCTGCGTTTCTTCTTCTTTTTTTCCTTCTTCTTTTTGAGGCGTGGGAGAAAACAGCCTGAATAACACCATATGATGTTTTTAAGTGTCCATGAAATTAAATGTTTGTTGCCGTTCATAAGGCTGCACAATACATCACAAATTTATTGTCTTCGCGAAAGCAGCCTGTGCAAGAGGCATATTGCAAAAAAATTGCGTAAAATGCAGTGAATATTTGGCTCATTTGTTTACATCGATGTGTTTTGTCAGCATCAGTCTGATAAACAAAACGGGCCTGAGATCCTGCATCAAATCAGACTACAGTGGAGAAAATCTCAGACAACTGCAACAAGAGAATTTACAGCTGGAGTTACATTTGTTAACTTTTAGTTAATTTCTTGAACTTATTTTCAGATGTTTTTGTTTATAAAAATCTGATAAATGTTTAATGGGGCGATGTTTTGAAGTCATTTAAAGTGTTTTACCTGCAGTTTTTAAATGTAAAACTGTCATGTTGAAATGAAAAGGATTTATTGTTATTTTGCTCTGAACCCAAAGCAGAAAGACATCAACACTATTTGTTAATTTATCACAAGTCATATCATCATCACAATAATAAGCTCAGGTTTTCTTGATATCGTGCAGCCCTAGTGTTAGATGTATTTCTTTAACACTACTTTAAATGTAAAATGGTGTGAAGGATTAAAAGTAGAAAGCATTTCATGCACAGTTTGCCTCATGCTGCTTGTGCCCTGACTCTTGTTCCAGGGTATGAAGTCCACGGCATGGAGAAGATCCCTGACAAAGGACCGGCTCTGATTGTTTATTACCATGGAGCCATTCCCATTGATTATTACTATTTCCTGGCCAACGTCATCATCCAGAAGGGACGTACCTGCCACTCTGTAGCTGACCACTTCCTCTTCAAGATCCCTGGTAAGTAAGTAAGTAAGTAAGAAGTAAGTAAGTAAGTTAGTTAGTTTGTTAGTTAGTTTTTTAGTTAGTTAGTTAGTTTTTTAGTTAGTTAGTTAGTTTGTTAGTTAGTTAGTTTGTTAGTTAGTTAGTTTGTTAGTTAGTTAGTTT